CTCCCCCGATTGCCTTGGACCCTGGGCCGGACGCGGCGGCCTGGGGCTCACGGGCCTGTCCCGCAGGAGGTGGACATCTACACCGTGAAGGTCGAAGACCTGACCTTCACCTCGCCCTTCTGCCTGCAAGTGAAGCGGAACGACTACGTGCACGCGCTGGTGGCCTACTTCAACATCGAGTTCACTCGCTGCCACAAGAGAGACCGGCTTCTCCACCAGTGAGTCCGCGGGAAGGGGCCCCTGCTCTGCCTTAGTTTCCCCACCCGCGGAACCTAGGCAGGACCCTCTGAGGGGCGAGGAGGGTGAAGGGATGCACGGGCAGGTGGACCACAGTCAACGCTCCGTAAACAGCCATTGGTGGTGGTGGGGGGGTGCCAGGCCGAGGGAAGGGCAAGACCAAGGGGGGGCGCAGGGGCCAGTCGGCTGACCCGGCTCCGCCCTCAGGCCCCGAGTCCCCGTACACACACTGGAAGCAGACGGTGTTCTACATGGAGGACTACCTGACGGTGAAGACGGGCGAGGAGATCTTCGGCACCATCGGCATGCGGCCGAACGCCAAGAACAACGTGAGGCTCGGGGCCCCTGGGGGTGGACTACGGAGGCACCGCTGCTTGTCTGGGGCTCTTGGGGGTCTGTCTGTGGAACACGGATTGTATTGAGCACCTACGGGAAGTGGGCCCTGGGGACCCAGCCACGATCAGGCTGAACCCCTGCCCTCCCGATGTTGCCGATCTAGACATGGGTCACGGTCAGCGGTAAACGACAGCTGGACAGCGGGAGGTGACTGTGCCAAGCTGACGAGGACGAGCCAGCTGAGAAGGCTGGTTTCCCAGCCTAGGCTTGGGGATCGAGGGAAGCAAAGGAGGGCCGGGCCGGTTGTTCCTCCTGTGCCCCTGGCAGGACGCAGCTGCCATTGGCTGGGAGGCTGGGGGCTGGGGGCAGGGCTGGGGCAGAGTCAGGAGCTCCAGCTCAGCTTCATGGGAGGAGGAAGGGTCTGATTCCTGAGTGGAGGGGCCTGGCCTGCGCCAAAACTTCAGGCCCGTGTGTAAGGCTGGATGGTGTGGGAGCCTGGATGGAGGGGAGTGGCCCAAAAGGCACCCACTTTCGAAGTCAGGGGGACAAGCCCATTAAAGCAGGGACTCGAGACCAGGGACTGTTTGCTGTGCCCCAGATGACACTGGTCACTAGAGACGTGGGGTTATTACAAACTGGAGAGGGTGCTCCCCTCTGCTTCCTCCTGACCTGGACGGTTCTGCATCTCTGCCTGCCCTGTCTCCGGTCCCCTCACGTCCTCCCTCTCCCCACAGCGCGACCTGGACTTCACCATTGACCTGGACTTCAAGGGCCAGCTGTGTGAGCTGTCCTGCTCCACCGACTACCGGATGCGCTGAGACGGCGCCCGGTGTCTCCCACCCCAGCCCGGCCGGCCCTGCACAGGCCCAGCGGCTGTGGCATTTCTTAGGCGGTTTCAGGATCCCCCTTCCTCTCCTTTTCTCAGAAGGGAGTGACAGGGGCCTGGGCCCGGGATGGGAGGGTTGGGGGGAGGGGCACATTGTGACTGTTTTTCATAACTTATGTTTTTATATGGTTACATTTATGCCAATAAATCCTCAGCTGGGACAGCTTGGCTTCCGGGGGGCTGGGGTTCCGTGTGCAGGTGCTAAGGTTTCAGTCTGAGCAGCCAGGAGTACCCGGATGATGGCTGTAGGTCTCTGTCCTCACTTGTGTCTAGTTCTGTCTCACCACAGCCCTCTGAGTCTTGTCCCAACTCACCTCTTGCTCGCTCCCAGGATCTCTTCCCCCCACCCTCTCTGGGGGGAGTGAGTCTGTCCCCCCAGTCCCCTCTCCTGCCCCTGAGGCCCTGTTATCTCTCGTCCCCACTGGGCATGGCTCTGAGCCCAGCTGTATGCCAGGCTGGTGGAGGATTGGGGTGTGGGTTCCCAGTATAGCTGGGCCCTTAAGCTTCTCAAAAGGCCATTTCCCTGCCTCCCCCAACGCACACGATTCCTCTGTTTTTTTCTGTCCAGGCCCCTCCAAGGGCGACTGGCAGTGAGTTCTGCCCTGCCCTCAGCAGCTAGGAAACTGAGTTGCAGTGGAATTGCACTGGGGGTCAGAATTCCTTCTGGGGGGGGGGTGTGTGACCTAGGGTGGGGGTCCCATCTCAGGGTAGCAGAGCCTCCCCACCTCAGAGGTGGCCACCAAGGTCCCACTGACCTTCACGGCGCCCCTGCTGCAGGCACGGTGTCCTCACCCACCACCCTCCCCCATGGCACAGAGCCCCCATCCCCCAGGACCTGGACCACTCAGCACAGCATCCCTGCCTCCACAGCGCCTGCTCCGCCTGCTTCCGTACAGCTGAGCCCTAGGCTTGCAGGCAGCTGATCGTTCTTCTAGGATGGTGTCCACACTGGCAGTGCTGAGGCTCGGGCTCTGTCCCTGTCCACAGGGGCTTTAGGTTCCGGAGTCTCCCTGGGTGAGGGTGAGGTCTGGTCTGTACTGGAGCCCCGAGCGTCCCCTTCCCCACCCCTTTCCTTGGAGGCAGATGCTGACGCCACTTGAAAGTGTCAGTTGTCCCGTCCCTGTTCCCTAGGCCTTAGGATTCCCTCTCCTGAGGCCTGGGCGCACCAGCACCCCCATGAGGGCTCCCTAGGAGCCGTGGAGGAAGGAGGTGGAGATCTGGGTGCTAATCGTGCCTCTCTGGCTTGGTGTGGCCTCAGAGACTTCCCCTGGAAGGTTATCCAGACCAGGGGGGAAGGGGGCGGGGCTGCCCTGCGCAGGGGCAACTTCACTCACCGATTTTTCTGGTGACCAACACCCACCTGCTGTTGCTTCTAGCTTCCTCCACCCTGGGGGACCCGAGTCCTTGGGCAGGTGGGAAAGGCTGGTGGTGTCAGGGACGTGCCTGCAAGGAGACCTCCTCAGGCCAAGGCTTTCAGTCTCGGAACAGGAAGGCATCTCAGAGCTGCCCTGTCGGGTACTGAGCCCCATTTTCCTGTTTGTACCTCGGTATCACGCTCCTCTGTGGCCCCTGTTCCCTGGGCACATGCCAAATATACCACCTGCCGGAGACCCAATACTGGCCCCGCTCTGCCTCCAAGGAAAGTTGGGCTATGGAGTTCTAGTCTAGTTGGTCTCCTGGACCTGTGGCAATGAGGCCTGCGCAGTGCCCAGCTTGTTGGGTGACCTTGGCACCTCTCTGCACCTCCCCTAGCCTCAGTTTACCCATCTGTATATTGGGGCCACGACCCCAAGTTTTCCCCTAGTTCCACATGGGCTTGCCCAGATATCTTCCCCCCAACACCCTCCCCCTCCCCTCCCCCAGTCCCCACTGTGACTGGGCGGGACCCAGGGGCACCCCAGAGCCAGCATGGACAAAGAATACTAATGTCCAGAGCCAAATAAAAGATGATCTCCATGTTTCAGTCTCTGCTCTTTCTGGTCTGACCATCTGAGTCCAGCCCCTAACACATTTTCCTTCGTGGAAGTCCCTTTGACTGTCTAACTTGAATCCAACCGGCTGTAGCCGCCTCCCTCGCACCAGCGCAGTTGCACCTTGTGCGGGTAGTTTTGTGGGTCTATCGGGTCCCAAAGCAGCTCTCCTCCCTCCCTGGGATGGGAGGACGGAGATTCGCTTCAGCTCCGGCTGGATGCCCCACGTGCGTGACTAGCCTACCGGAGGTCGGCTGCGAATTCCAAGCTGAGCCTCGTTCCCGGAAGAGAAGGAGCGAGCTCCTTGAGGGAGAGCGGACTGGGGAGCCCGAGAGCCTGGGGCTCAGGATGGATGCTGCGTAGAACGCTGGGGGCGAATGGGGAATGGGGCGGGGTAGGAAGACAGCTAGGACTCAACGCTGGGAGGGGATTGGAAGCTGGGGTCCGAGGGGCGGGGATAGGACGCAGAGCAATTGGAAGGGGGCGGGGATAGGACGCCGAGATTGGAAGGGGGCGGGGATAGGACGCCGAGATTGGAAGGGGGCGGGGACAGAACCAGGGACTGGAATACCAGGGAGGCACACGCGAGACAGAAATCGGGGTTCCTGGGTGTGGGGTGATCCGGGACGTGCAGGAACTCCGGAAGCCCACCGACCAAATCGTGGACTCGTCGCCCTGGGTTGCCTATGTCTATGCAAGTGGGAGACAGGCCTGGCGCTCCAAATCGGGGGTCGGGGAGGCGTCATCCGGCTTGGTCCCCAGGATCCTATCGGCGGACCCCCGACTCCGCGTAGTGAGTACGGGACGGGAGGGGCCCGAGCTGCCGCGGGGGCTGGAGGCCTGTGTCCCGGGTTGGGCAGACGAGCTTCTCCATCACTTGTCCTCGAAGCATCCCTGGCTGCGAGGCATGCGCAGTAGGGCGCGCCCTCCCCCATCCCCTCTAGCCCCTGTCGAGGGGGAGGGGACGCTGGGTGAATTTATAGACAGTTCCCCGCCCCCACCCCACCCCACCCGGCCTTGGAATGGGAAACGGAAATGGGGTGGACAGTGCCAGCGTCTGGCAGGTGTTTGTTTCAAATGGGTCTCGGACTGATATTTATCTCGGAGACCCCGTAACTCTCCCTGGACGGATTTCTCCCCTCCGCCCCCGAATTTTGAAAGTCCTGTATGGGGAGGAGGCACTGCCCCCGCACCAGCCTCAGCAGAGCCTCCGAGAGGTAAACGCGAGGTAGCCCTCCGCCTCGGTGTGTACCCACAGAGGTCCCCAACGGAGGGTCTCCCCAACACCGAGTGTTTGGCCGGGATCCTCAAGACCCTTAGGAAGGGTGAGCTGGCGTCCTCTACGCCTTGGGGTCCTGGACTCCTTGGGTCTGGTGGAGCCCCCTAGCTCGGGGATTAGAGGATTATTTTTTGCATCCCCAGGGA